CCCTGCAGCGCGAGGGGAGCCTGTAGGTCCCCTCTCCCCCGCGGCAAAGCAGGTTGCCGATGCCAACCAACCCCCCGTTTTTCAGCACGGAAACGCTCCTGCCTCAGCCCCTCCACGCGCCCTGCCTCGACAGTGCTGCGGGCGTGAGGTAACTGCGCCGCAGCGCTCGCCTCGCTCGCGCCCACAGCGCGGGACAGGCACGAGAAGCGGCTGCTGGCCGCAGGGCAGCTGTGTTCAACCCCGCTCCAGACAAGTGTGTGAACAGGCCGGTACAGCAGCTCCAAGTTCATGGTCAAATGCCTCAGAGGGGTTCCTAAGCGCAAAGACTGACTTAACCGTTGGGATTGCCCCTCCTTTTGCAGCTTTTGAGTATCTTTAAACACTTTCCCCAGCACCAGCCTCTCTGAGGCCAGCAGGGTTGCTGCCAATCTTTGTTACTAACCTTTTGTTCAGCCCTATGCATGGGTATGTCTCTCTCTTGAGTCACCAAAGATTAATAATAAAAAATACTATTGCAATTATTAGAAGGACCTTTCCGGAAACCTAGCCACAGAAGCCTGACCCTCCCTCGGCATCAAAGCTGCAATCACACAGATCAAGAACACCTGGAAGTGCTTGCAGAATTTTTTAGAAGCAATTTAGCAGCATTTCTTTAGGCTACACCTCTTTAAGAAGATCCTGCACACATGTCTCTTGCAACTTAGCTAATGTGAGACAGCTGTGACAAATGAGGCCAAAAGGACTAACAGGTGGTACCAAGTGAGAGCCCTGATAGAGCTGCAAAATCAGCTGGGGGCTTTAGTTCACTGCTTCCAGCATCTTCAGCAAGGCCAGTTCAGAGAACATGATAAAGCAAAACAAGAGAAAGCTTTGCTTTTAACCCACCTATTTGTAAGGGCTGGAGGCCACACACAAAGCTGGTGTTTAAGCCCTTGGGCCATCTGTAAAGTGGCTCTGGTGATAACGGTAGGGATGTTGGTAAGAGAGAGGAAAATCAGAGGAGACTCAGGCCTTGAAGAAGGAAACCTCTACTGAGAAGAGTTCTGTGAGGGCAGCCCCCGCTATCTCCAGAGCGGGCTGCTGCAGCTTGCTGCAGTTAGCACAAGAAACCAAAGCCGGGGCACAGCCAAGCTCAGCGTCCACAGCCGCTGCGGGACGGAAGTGCAACTTGCTTAGAGCAGGCTGTCATGAGGCATCCCGCGCCCGCTGGGAGGAAACGGACATCTCAAAATGTCTCCCCGGTTTTCCTCTGTGCTAACGTCCCGTTGCTGGTAGCTAGGATATAAAGGGGAAGCTTTTTAATTCCCTTTCCTGTGTGTAGGGTGGGAAACACACATTTATAATAAAGGGCACTGCCTTCAGGCTTTGCAGGAGAGTTTGAACCAGAGACACAGTAAAGCAAAGTTGGAGCAGCAAGCAAGAAAAAGAAAATACTTTTTTACAAGCAAAATATAATTAGTTGATTCAACTCACTTCAGCCAGCGACTAAGCAAGATAAGTCTAAGAAAGGATTACACATGTGCACACAAAAGCAGAATATCCAGATCAACGAGTGAGACCAAAGCTTGTGAAAAATACAAACTCATTTCTTCGGACAGAGACCAACCTCCAGCAGAGAGGTGGTGGAAAGGCTCCTCAGGGCAGCTTGTCCCATAATTTCCTCTCCAACTTTATTGCACCTTCTTCTGAAGTACTGTTGCGTACAGGAAACTAGATTAAATAGAGGATCAATCTGACCTCGACTGTTGTATAGACAGAGCTTTGCTAAGGAATTCATGCACAGCGCACGTTTCTCTCATGCATCTTTAATGACTTGTTAGAAAACAAGCATAGGACCTCACTGAGCTGTGCAACCACTGCTGTGAGACATTTAATGGGATAGAAAGTGCATATAAGACCCAGATGCAAGCACTGAAAATATCCACTAGGTGAGTTTGATATAGCTTAAATGCAAAAGGAATTAACACAAATGTTGTGCAGTGCGCAGGGAAGCTCCAACAGAATGCCCAAGGCAGCCTTTCCAGCTAGGACTTGGTTCACCAACATTTCACAGGCAGGAGCTCTTTGACTCCAGGCAAGTCTGGGCAGGCTGCACCATCACACTCTCCCTTAGGCTCTCACTCATGGCAAATGCAGCTGTTTTATAAGACAGCCCCAAAAGCAGAGGTCCTTCTGGGCCTCCTCTGGGAGCTAGAGTCAGCATCACATTTGGGGGTTGCTACCTTCTTTAATCAGCAACGGAGATGTGTGCTTTAACACCCGAGCATCGCAGGGTTATCCCCGAGAGACGATGCGCACACCCCCAACTTCTTGTTGACTAGAATCCTAGGCCCTACATTTCTAAAAGGTGCCAGACTACGTAGCTTCTCTGGCAGCTTGTTCTCCTGCTCACTCATCAGTTGATGAAACGTTCTTGTTCTCTTCATCATCCAGCATATCTTTTAGCTGCTGACGAGCAAACTCCTCAAATACCAGCTCTGCATCACTGAAATGGAAGAAACACAGGCCGTTCAAAATGATTCCAGCAAGTCTTTTTTTTTAACACCAGTAGACTAAAGGCAGCATGTAGGAAGAGAAGCCAGGAGCATACTCTGGTATTATTTTCTTTGTCTTCAGAGCAGCTCAAATCCAATTCCCACAGACTATCTTGATCGGAGAGCAGATCCTAGCTAGCCCGAGCAGAGTGTGATTGAACAAGTCAGGACACAAACTGTGGAGGTTTTTATCAGTACCGAATCAGGCTCATCCCGGCTACATATCTGTCAGCTACCTGAATAGCCAGAAATAGCTTGAAAGGGTCTTTGACTGGAATTAAAATGGAAAACCTTTCATCCCTATTCCTTCTGTACTAAAATACGAGTACACAGCCGAGCAGACTGAGTTCCTGCAACACAGAGCATCAGCTGATGCTCTGCAAAAGCCAGGCAAAATGTGCTCACTTAAACTCGTTTCACATGGTTGGTCTCTGCCGTTCAGCTAATAGCAGTAATTTCTCAAGCCACAGTAACTTACTCACTTTGGATTTATGTTCATCCCATATAAGCCCTGGGGACTTCTGGAAAATTTGGGGGAATTTCCAGAGAACCACTTCTCAAATGCAGCCAAAATGTAAAATGCTATTAAAAGAAACTTACCCATCCTTCTCTGTAATTATCCAAAGGCAGTAAAGGAGTAAGAAAAGGCAACAAATAGTTAGAACAGATGCTAAGAACAAGACAATATTTATAAAGCAAGGAGATAAACAGCCTCTGTGACAAGCCGCAGGATTTCAGCATTTCAATGGAGAATTCCAGAAAATCCTAACGTGTGTGTACATGCTCCTGGGTAAAGCACAACTCAGTCTCCCTATTGGAAAAGTGCTCTAGCAACCCCCTCCACCAAGACATTAGAAGGCTAAGAAAAAAAGACAGATTTTCCTATTTTTATGCCACTAGCAGCCACAGCTGTGAGAGACATCTGTGCACGCACTTGTGGTTGGAGATGACAGCGCTCGTGTGACGTGATGTTGCTTCCAACTGGGCTGTCACCTTGCTTCGAGGAGCCGCTCGATCAGAAGGTGACACTCATATTCAATAAGCACGAAGGCATTGAAATCAAAAAGGTCTGGTACAGAAAGGGCTGGAAAGGCTCTGCTCACGTTATGCGTTCCTGACTTCACCCTCTGCCTAGGCGTTATCCCGAGCCCTTTGGCACATGCATTTCCCTAACGGGATCTCTGCTAAGGGATCTCTCCCTAAGTTCCTTGTACTGCAGTGAAGCAGAGTTCAGGCTTGAGCAGGATTCCTTGGGAGGTGTCTCTCCAAACCAAGGAGAGCGGAGGGCACTGCGGTTGTGAAACAGGGGCAGGGATGCTTTGGCTTTCACAGCTAATCTTCTTTCTCATGAGTTTAAGCCAGGAAACAGCAGTCAGCAGGGATCTGGGATGCTTCAGTGACTGAAAACTTGCTAGCTGGAGGATTCCCACCCACAGCTCACTGCCATCAAGGGGGACAAGTGGTGACTAGCACTGCTGGAAAAAGAAAAGCCGTAAAAATGTGCCCGTTGGGGTACTCTATAGCCAAAATGTCTCAAGTGGTCCTTGAAAATGGTGCAGATGATGGTTTCTACCTCTGCTCTGAAAGGATGGTTTCCTCTGCTCACGGTGCTAATGCGAAGTCTGGAAATTCAGGGTAAAGGTGTCCACGCTTGATTGAAATGAAATATTTAGAATGCAGCTCTTAAAATTTCCAGCACGCAAAGCGTTGTTCTCATCTCATTCTCATCTTATTTTTCCTCCAATTTTTGTTCTTTAAATAGTCTGCTCTCTTCCCCCTCTTTGAAGTACATTCATTACTATGGGAACAGTGACATCAGGGAGGTGGGCGAAGCCGAGGCAGTCTGAAGTTGATTTTACCGAATCGGTTTAGGAAAAAAGAAGAGGGTTTGTGGCAGTTAGACATATCCCTCTTGCCAGATATATACTGACTGTGTCAATACAGAGGTAGACACTGTGGTAGATGCAGTTGAGCCTATCATACACCTCAGAAGTGAGATCACATTCAAGGGTGCAAGTACTCGAGGCTGCTGTAGCCTCCCGTAGGCTGGTTAAAGGGAGGCTGAATAAACCCTAGCAGGAGCTGGGCCCACTCCACCTTGTTATCTTGCTACCCTGCAGCTTATTCAACATTAGGACATTGAAAAGTTCTCAGGAAGCTGAAAATCAGCAGGCTTTTGGTTTTGCTTTTGGTTTTTTTAAAGCAGCAGCAATTGCTTTGAGGGCTGGGCTGGGAGGGGGCACAGATGAGGCTGTGCGTCCCCGTTGCGGAAGGTTTTCTATAGGCTTTTAGTAGGCAGCCACAGAAATGGTGCCATATAATTAAAGTTGTGACATATGGTAATTTTCATTAAAAGCTTACTTTTGACTCCTTTTAACTCTATCGAGAGAAACAAAGAGTAGGCTGTATTATTTTTCAAGACATTCAAGTCCTTTAGAAATTCACTAATTCACTACTTTCAAAAAGTTACATTACCAATACAAGGCAGCATGGGGTTAGTGCAGTGATGGCTTCCTTGAAACCAGCCCTTTCCTGCAAGTTTACCCAAGGGAGCAGATAAATGAGCATTTGGTGACTACTAACCAAAACCCAGGCCAGGGCCCAAGCCCCAGGCCCCGGCCCTGAAAAACATCAGGAGAAGGGCAGGAACCCCCCATCCAGCTGAGCGCACAGCTTGGAGAAAAGCCCAGCAGGAGCTTCTGGGCCAACTGCTGACCCACCCGAAAGGGCTTGGAAGCATGCAGAGATGTAGCCCAATCTAAATCCGTTTTAGAGACACCCGTTTTTGTCAACAGGCAGAAAAGCCAGACCATAAATGCGAGGGGAGCTGTTGCTTCTCCTAAAAATAACCACCTGTGAACCACATGGGTCCAAAAGCAGCTGCAAAACCAGCACACACGCAACATGCAAATGGCAGTCTATAAGAAGTCCAAGACAACGCAGCTGTAAATAAACCTGTGAAAGGAAAGGTAGCGAGCGGCAACTTCTCTACCCCCTCCAGCAACAGGGCAACGTGCGAGAGCCCTGCCCTGCGGCAGGAGCGGCAAACGCTCCCGATGCCACTTGCAGCAAGTAAAAAGGGCAAGTCGATGTGCTGAGAAATAAAGCAGCGGGCAGCAGACCCCGCTTGCCCCACTATGGCCCTGGAAGAAATTAAACCACGTTCTTAAAAAGTTTCTTCTTCCATTCTGCCTGAAGCTCTCTACACTCAGATCAGCTCTGCACAGTTGAACACACTATTGCTAAACACATTTTAGGTACTTTTGCCACAAATCACCTTGGCTAGAGAAAGAAAAAGGTGATTATCCCAGTGGAAGGAATAAACCGTATTACGTGATCCCTTTTCTCATATGCAGGCATTTCTTTTAATCCTACTTTAGCTTTGCCTCTATAGGCTGCTTGCGTTGACATTTTTCCTTTCTCCGGGCTATATCTTAAGAAAAAGTGGCAGTAAAATAAGCAGGGAAATGCAACAGTCAGATTTGTTACTACTGACTCATCAGTAAAAAACAAAAGTGAATGGAGAGAGAGGAGGAGTGATCGCAAAATCCCCTGGCCATGCACCCTTCCCTATATCTATTGCTGAGGCTGGCAAGTGAATCAAAAAAGAAATATTTTAACTTGTGGGGCCTTTAAGAGTCTGAACACTGCTCGTTGAAGCTCCGTCTCTGCAATTAAGTTTTGATTCGCTTGACTCCAAATTAGATATAATTTCACTAATGAAGCACATCATCTCTCCCAGAGCTTACGTCCTAAGCCGGCAGAACAAAAAGTGCATCTCCAAAGCACGAACGCACGACTGAGAAGAGTGATTTAGACACCGGGCATGGAAAACTACCAGCCAACAGAGCCAGAAAGATTTTCGGTTACCAGCCCCATTTGGGAGGCTGTTCTATTCTTCGTAAGGAGCTCAGACACCGCACTTGAGCAGTTTTCAAATCAGCTCCCCAGGCTTCAGGGGACTTTGCCTTTGTGTTTTCCAGTCTTGAAGGGAAAGCATCTGCTTCTCCAGTTAACTGTTTGCAGGGCAACTGTTTGGTGCAAACAGTACAAGGGCTATGTCTGTGTCGGGGAAGCCAGCTGGGAGGTGACTGCAGCTCCCCTCTACCCACCAGAGCACACTGTATAGAAGAGTCTATGAGCCCTCCTTGGAAAGGATCGCAGAGGGCGGAGCTGCCTGGCTCCCATTTGGCCTCATATCCCCATTGCTTCTCCCAGAATTATCTGCCTGAGTCAAGGGCGGCAAAAAGGGGGCTGTGGTATTGTTAACATTGAAACGAGGTGTCATGTCCAAAAAAAAAACCACGCCACTGAAAATACGCACAAAATCCATTACAGATGCCTGTCTTTGGACAGTTCCTGTTGGAAGTTTTCCAGCTTTCTTCTGGATACATAGGAAAGCGCCAGATGTTGGGCCCGGTGTGGCCCTGCCACCTCTGCAGTGTGAGGCTCCCCAAGGACACTAGATGGCTCCCACCGGCCACCTTCCTGGGGACAGCAGAGCTGGTCCCAGCCACTCCGCCTTCCGGCCGGGGACATGGCCAGGAAGGCTTGAGGGAAACACCTGAGCATCCACAAGCTACCAGAACACGGAGAAAGACCCTGGTTGCCTCCTCTGCGGCCACAGCCCAGAGAGGACAACAGGGGATGGGAGATTTGTCTGTGGCCTCATGGTGCTGCTCAAATGGAGTGTAACATGCACAGAAAACTTCCCCCATGAGCATGTGCCGGGTGTCTGCTGAGACAGCAGCAGTTTTGGGAGTGAGGAAACCTACCTTTCCCCCGCTCCGGCACATCCATCGTTAGCAAACACTGATTCCCAAGCAGAGCAGCATGAGTGGGGAAATGACCAGTCCCATCGCTGCTCACATTTGTTTCCTCCAGTCATTTAACATAACCAAGATGAAGTTTTAGGTGTTTTCTGTGGAAGACTGCTGTTCACCAGCTTGGAATCTGGCTGGAAGTTGCTAACATCTGCATTCAGGGAATTTTGAAAGGGAGTTTTGAGATTTATCTGTGCGGTGCTTCTCCTAGGCCCTACAACTGGGGCTGTGATTCCACAGATGAGAGAGGAAAAAGGAGCACGATCCAGTTCCACTTTCTCTCATCTTGGCATCCCTTTTCCCTGCTATGCATGCCGTGGGGTTGATAAACACAGCAGTCCCCTTGCTGGCCTCTCGTGGTCTCTAAAGGCTTCCAGAGAATAAATCACTGCAAGACTTGCGATGGGGCAAGATTTCACCTGGGACTGATGAGCAAAAAGGGGAAAAAATGAGGCATAACTGACCTGCTGGGTTCTTGTCCTCAGGTCTGGGGTGCATGAGACGAAAGGGCAGCTCTGTGCCCACTTCACTTTGGCGAGAAGAGAAAACGCATCAGATGTGCAGACACATTCCTGCCTGGTTTCATCCCTTCCTTCCCAGTTCAGGCCAGCCCAAGCCCTGAAATTCAACTTAACGCAGTATTTCATCTTTTATTTTTTTTTCCTAATCATAACTTCTTCAGAAAGAGGGAAACATCCACCCTAATAATCTGGTTTATTACCTGCTGAAGTATTTTATTTGCACATAGATAAATCAGACACAGCTTTGTAATCGACTCTTTTTAGCAGCTGAATGTACAGATTTCTTACTTCTATCAGCCTAAGGGGTAATTTCTTATTTTTAGGAAGGTGAGAAAAGAGTAAAAGAACAAATTAACAACTATGACTGCATGATCTGAAGGGGAAAAAGATGCAACTGCTTTACCTGGAGGTGAAGTCTCCCAGCATGCTACAGAAGAAAACAAGGAGAAGAAAGAAAGAAAACCACAAGTGTATTTAGCACCTCCCCATTGCAGTGTTTTACCAAATATTGTTTTATTGTTTTATTGGTGGACTACTGAAATTACATTTCTCTGTTCCTTTCCCCATACCCTTTTCTCCAGTGGCCACAAGCAAACATCCAAACAGCCTTCTTTCTACAAAAGGTGATTTTCATTTGTCATGTCGTTCCCACAGACAGAGGCCAGGCTTTGGAAGCCCTGAACAAGTGTCAGCATCGCCCCTTCTCCAAGGGCCTTGGAGCCCAGGGGCAAGGATAAGACGGAGCCAAGGGACCACAGAAGGCAGCAGCCTTTTATCACATGCTTTAGGCAAATCCCTGACCCATTTTTATGCTACAGCAGAGAAGAGAGAGCTGAAATACAAATGCAAACAGCAGCTATCATGACCTGAGTTATCTCTTCAGCGCGGCACCCTGAGAATTAACCCACGGGGGACGGTGTCAGCTCCTCGCAGAAGGCTGCCTAGCAGAGAACCTGAACGCTGTTCTAACTTGTAGGCAGATGTCTCTACCTCTGCTCTTTGGGAGAGCAAGAACTCCAAAATGAAGGTTCAAACAAAATCTCACTTAAACATTAAGAGTTAGTTTAGTTTTAAAGCAAAAAATTGCAGTGCAAACCAGAGGCTCAGACTTCAATTGTAAAGTCATATTGCATCTAAGAAAGGTGATCCAAAGCCTCTGGCTCAGAAAAAGCTTTATGGATAGGCCAAGAAAGTTAGAAATTACATCCAGTTCAGGCTTCACAGGGAGCCCGATGTCTTAAAACACGTGTCCTTCCTCTTAGTGTTGTCTTGTCCCTTCTCCAGTGGGGTTCCATACTCCATTCTCCTATTCTACACAGATACAGCCAGCAGGCTGTTGCTCTTACCCGGAGACGGTGAGTTTCACTCGGACCTTGTAGGAAACCAGAATCCCCATCACCGTCTTGTCTATTCCATCCTTAATTCTACCAGAGAGGAACACACAGCGGGGTCAGGCAGGACAACAGCAGAGCTCACAACGCAGGGCTGGAGTAAGAGCCGGGGGAACATCCCATTCTCACAAAATGTGACAAAATAACATGCGAGAGCCTCTGGGACTGCTAACACCTCTCCAGGTCTGTGACCAGCCTTTAGCCTGAATCAGTATGACAGGGGTAAGTCACACATTCAGATGTGTCTGCCTGGATACAGGTACAGACTCCTGATAGGCAGGTCAGCTCCATCCTCACTGCCTCTTTATAACCCTCCACGAGCTTGCGTCCTTTAAAACTCTACTCACATGGTACTAGAAGCCAGGTTGGTGTCTTCATCCTTTAACTTTCCATCCAGGGCTATTTCCCGAGTCTCCCGGTTATTTGCTAGCAAGGGCAGAAGTGTCAGTGTCTTGGTGAGGCTGCTGTTTGGCTGCACCTTCTCCCTGAAAATAACACGCAGGTGAGAGAAGCCAAGTGAAACACTCTGATTTTAGTTAGAAAGCCAGCTAAGAGGATTCTGAAACACGTTACAGAGCCATCTGCAAGGAGTGGGATTTATTTGTCCAGATTTAGATGCCTATGGTGAAGACTTCTACACTTCGCTTTGCAGTTAGCAGACAGAAATGAGCACTTGCAGAACATGATTCATCTCACATTAAGGCAGACATCTAAAGTAGGGCAAACTATACTGCAGACCTCGAAAGCTGGACAAAATGAATCCTAGTTTAGAAGATCAGCACTCAAAGGAAAATCTGCTCCTATGCTGCAAAGGAAAAAGCAGAAAAAAACAATATTTCTGGCTGGGTCCAACCGTCCTCACAAAGCAAGGCTCTGAGCATGGCCAACAGTGCAGTGTGCTAGAGCGGCTGGTTCCCCACGCGTGGGCTTTCCCAGAACCAGCACGCTGCCAGCTGTGTGAAAAGGTGGTTAAAAGGGTGCGAGGGAGAGTAGCAGGATAAGCAGAGGCTAGGAGGTAAGAAAGGCTAAGCAAAGCGTTCAGACACTCACTGAGCTTCCTCTGCAGCTACCACTTTGGTATAGTAGTCACTTGAGTACAAAACAACGTTGGCAACCTGCTCCACTGAGTGAGAAAGGAGAAAGGGGACAATCAGCCGCGCTCACACGCCAGGAGCAACTCAGCCACCCCTCCAAGGCTCAAGAGCAGAAGACACTATGCGGGCAGTAGGAAAACCTTAACACGTGAAGGGGCCACTAGTATGGGCAGCATGATTTGGTTACAGACCAATATGTGGCTAAGTCTATATTCCCAGAAAGAGATCCAGCCTTGATTTGAGGATGACAAAAGCCAACAGCCCATGCTCTCCCTGGGAAGCCTGTTCTTTCCCTTATAAACATCTGTCTCTCTCCTTTCCAAGTGTGTCTGCTTTTGTCTCTGCCATCTCTCGCATATCCATAGCCCACACACTTGCATTGAGAAGATACCATCACCAAGCACACTGGATACCGGACTGCTGTCCACAGACTGTCCAAACACCAAAAAGCATAGGGCACTTCTGACTGAAACAACCATGAAGAGAGAATCTGGGAATCAACAAGGTCTTTCTAACCTTGACAGAGGCAAAAAGTATTTGGGAGTCCCAGGGGTGTTTTAGACTGGAGACTGGCACTGAGTTGGCTTTCTCCATGACCACTGGGGTGAAACCCTCAGCATTCTTCCCGTCCTGCTTTCTCGTCTTTCTTTCTCATTCCTTTTCTCCCAGATCCGATGTTTTTCAGATGTCTCTGAAGCCTCGGGCAGGGCCATGGTGCCCTGGGGCATCACACCCTGGCCCCTGGCAGAGGAGGGCTTCCCCACAGCCCGTGCCTTGCCCATGGGAAGCGCCAGGCCCTTTCTGCTTTCTAGAGGGGAGATACCTGAGAAGCCTACAGTGGTTCACCCCAAGAACAGCAGCAGAGCAACAGCAAAGGATGGTAGAAGAGAGAGACACTCCTGACCCGCATGTGCTGCTGCCCAGGGAGCTGCACGCAGCCTTGGGGCCCTCTTTGAGCCCCGCCGTCACACAGGCTTCTAGCCCTCCAAGAACCCCAAGCAGCAGGAAGAAACGTACCGGTCACTTTGATCTTCTTGACTGTTTTCTCTGTGCTGTTGGTGACAGTGATGGTGACTGGAATGGGCTCGCCATGGTAGTACACCTAGGAGGGGGTTGGTGCACAGAAACGCCAGCATGAGGCTTCACCAAAGTCCTCGCAGCCCTTTAGTCCCCCCACCATAATTCTCCCAAAGGCCAGAGAACCCTTCCCAATAGCTTCCACTGCCTCCCAGAGCCTGGTAGAAGAAGGGGCCCAGCTTCTCTGAACAGTAGCTACAGATGGAAATGGCCTTCAAGTCCTTGAATGCTGGGGCTGAGGTGTCCCAGCAAGGGCCAGAACAGCACTGGAAGCAGCTGCTTTGGGCAGCATAGACACTGTCACTGGGGTGCTACGAGGCCCAGAGCCCGGCCCGCTCCGCACCTCTTTACTGAGAGACGCCCTCAGGTGCAGCGGCTTGTTGGACATGAAGAACTGCCAGGTGGTCTCCGCACACGGCTGGGGTCCCAGCTCCTCCGGAGCAAACTGCACCTTACGGATCAACAGGCGTGCCGAGTTCCTGGGAAGGAGACAGCAGGACACTGATTCCTGCTCGGCGGAGCCCAGAGCTCTGCCTCAACGTCAAGCAGGGCCGAGCTGAACACGCCGCCGCGGCGTTACCTCTTGTGAATCCTCTCTTCCACGTTCTCTGTTGAGAAAGCCTTCACCTCGAAGTCTACCCCACAGACCTGCCAGAGGGAGAGGGGATGGCTGTGAGCCTCGAGGTGCCCTAGCCGAGCCCATCAGCAGACATTTAAGCATCTTTCCACGTGGCCGGCAGGGCCGGCTCCTGCCCGTTGCCAATTGCTGCGGCCTCCAGCCTCGGCAGTAGGAGCCCCAGCCAGGGTGGCGGCATCCGCCTGCTCCGTGCTCCGGCCAGGCCTAATTCCCAGCGTTTGACCGGTGACATCCCTGCTCCGGAACGGCTTTTGTAGCAGTTGTGCTGTGCTCATAGAGTTCATAGCCCCCTTCCAGGTTATAAAACCGACCAGCATGCAGGGCTCTCCTGGCTGCCTTGGCTTCCCAAAAGGCCTGATTCCAGGTCAACCCTCTCGCTTCCCAACGGATTGGGAGCGATCGGACCAAGCCGACCTTTGCTTTAAGGGGTTTAGACAGCTGCCGTGCCTCTGGCCGAGTGCCAGACACCTCTCTGCATAGCAGCACTCTATTTTGCTAGAATACTGTTACTTGGCAAACACACAGTTTGTCCCTGTGGCACTGGGTTTCAGAGCCTGCATCCAGTTCTGCCCAGCTAGTCTAGTCCAGAGAATTATCCAAAGTGAAGTAGAAAAGGGATATTTTAAATAATGTCAGAAACCATGCACAATATTTCATTATCTGGTTACTTTTTTGCAGTGTTTTTATTGTGTTTACATACATGTCCAGGACAGCCCTCTTCTGCGTGTGTTTTTATTCAGAAGCAAGCCTTAACACATGGTTTTTGTGGTGATCAATGAAATTTCAGTCTCCTTTGCTCTAATGGGACTGACTAGCTAACAGCTTGCCTGACAGCTACAAGCATTTCATGCACATCCAACCCCTCAATCACACAGACAACTTAAGGAAACTACAAGCATTGCAGATTTAGCAGTCTTGCTGCTATGTGACTGCATTTCCCTTCTTATTCTGAGGGCCCAAGTTCCAAATCTGTGATGCTCTTTGTAGCTCTTAAACATCAAGCTCCTGGGACCCCACCATGAAAAAGCAGAGGGAACCCCAGCATGACCTTATTCTAACTCTGAAAGCAGCCAAATAAAGTCACAATTCATTTTCCATTCAATCTTCCTCTACAGTTATAAGCACAGATGACCAGACAGTCTCACCTTATCAACATCTCGAGGTGCAGGCTGCAAGCAGACTGAACAAGGCAGGTAATCTGGAAACTGTGGGAGCAAGAAGGGAAGAACAACCCAACACAGTATAACCCAGTTTTCTAACTCGCTGTACTCTAATTATCTCATTATTTGCAAAAAGCACAGAACAACCATGAGGACAAGAGGTTACTTGCTGCAAGGCAGTGACCCTTTGAACTTGGGCCTTCCACCTGCCTGTATGAGCAAGTCCCAGCTATTTGCTCCTGTATCAGAACACGTGGATCTCAAACATGGATCGCCTTGGTAATGAGCAAGGCTGGGCTTTTATTTATTTATTTATTTATTTATTTTTAAAATAAGAAACTGCCACTTTCTTTGTGAGCGATGGGACAAAGGTATAAAGTATTCCAGCCCCTCAGGAGTGGGGAGGTTAAAAACGGTTTGCGGGGCCTGGCTAGAGTAAAGCCATAGCACATTTCTCTCTTACAAGTACTTATTTTTATAAGCACTTAGCATCTTTTTGCTCTTTACCATTTGGAATGGAAAGAAAAAAAAAAGTACATTGCCTTTCACTAAAAATTGGGGATTTTGCATTTCAATACCCATCTTCAGCCCATCACTGAGTGTCAGCAGTAATAACAGACAGGCAGAAGAGGCTTTTAGGAGGCTCTTACGAGGCGCTTACTGTAAAAAGAAAGGGGTAAGCGTTTTTGCCCAGCTTCTTTAACAGAGATTCCTGCAAGTGGGAGAGCGTGTCCGGCTGGTCAGCGGGCGGGAACACCTGGAGCCTGGAGAAGAAGAGGTCCCTGCGGAAGGTGAGGCCCATCACATCGATGTCTTCCTGGCCGTAGCGGAAAGCGCAGGTCAGCGTCACGTACACTGAGCAGAAGCACACGGCAGGTTAGGCACAAAGCAGCCACGCGGGACTCCTGGAGAGGCAGGGAATCCCCTCGGGCTTGTCTAACCCCCCTGGGATTCCTACTGTTTGTGAGGACCTAGGCTGTGCTAAGGAAACAGCCTGTCCGATGACGAAGAAGGTGCTGTTTGTATCCTTAAAATTCTTAAAATGATGTAAAAAGGCTCCATTTCAGCGTCTCCCTTTAAAGGAGAACTAGCAGTCTCTAAAAATTACACTGTGCAAGATCACAAACCTTTTTTCCCCTTGATGAGTGCAGGATCCACCAGTACAACACCATCTGAAAGAAAGGAAAAATAAACCACACGAGCAGAGGGTAAGGAGGGTTAGGGGACCACGAAGGGCAGCACAAGCCCTGCAGACGTACCAACAGCCTCCACGCTCTTGATGTTGTCAATGAAGTCTCGCTTTCCCAGGTAGATGGTCAGCTGCAGGGGGAAGATGACTATGACTGAACTACAAAATGGTTGATGGTCGTGTGTTTAGGTGGGAGAAAAAGGAGACCTATCAATCTTGCAGAGCACAGAAAAAAATCTAGGTAAAATACAAATATTTCTTTTAAACGTACGATCTCCACTAAACTCAGCAGGCCTGTTCACACACTCTGGGCGGTCAGTGGGGAAGACTTGATGCAGAGTCCCAGAAGTACAGTACAAATGGTGTGCATGTGGCAAAGAACCATGAAGTTAAAGAGTTTTGGTGCTGTCTGATCGAAAAGATATTGAAATATTTATCTAAACATTTTCCAACAGGAGTTCAACTAAAGAAGGGTAAACAGGTATTGCCTTCTTATACAAGACCTTTAGTTTTATAGAACAGGAGAATTTTGCCTTCTGTAAACTCTGTTTTTAGAGTCTCTTCTGGCTTAGCACTATATACAGATCATGGCCTGTCTTCAGAAAAAGAATGAAGAGACAAGATTGAGTTTCATCTCCAACCTTACTGCAAGTAAAACTGATGCAGACCCATTATCACGGTACTTACAGCTTTATCACGGGTGCTTTTCTTGAAGATAACTCGTTTTTGTGGGGAACCGGCACTCTTCCCACTTACTGCCTTCTGCGACTCAGGGCAGCTCATGGCCAAAGGAGGGTCTGCGACTGTGGCTGAAGGAAGCGTTTCTGCCACAAGGGTTCCTAGGACAGAAAAAACAAAACCAGGAAAGAAACACAGGCATGAGATTAAAGTGCAGTTATGACTCGTGGGTAAAGCTTTCTATCCCTGTAGTACAGTTCCCCAAAAGGAGACTATTCTGCTGGAAATTCAGGCTCAACATACAGGGGAGTTTACTTTTGATTTTGTTAATTTTTCATAAAAAAAGATTTTAAAACAAGTCATATTCAAAGAATTATTTGACTAGCAGAAAAATGTGAATGGAAAGAGTTAGCTTGGTCTATATAAAGAAAAGTTTGCACCTCAGACATTTTGTGAAAAACCCTATGAGCACACAGTGTACTTAGATTTTCAAAAGTACCTCAAAGTACTTTTGGAACAAACAAGGCATAAATCAAGAACAGAATGAAATATGCTGTTTGTGTCCCTAGTGTGTCCAGATGCTAGAGATGGCACGTGGAGCCTGGGGGACCCAAAAGGTCGATGTTGGACAGGAGTCAGACCAAACCCCAAATGAGAACTCATCCATATGCTGTATTTTCCAAATTAGAACTGAACCCATTAATATTAGTGTGTTAGTGAATATATACGTGAACCAAAAAGCTAACAAGATAAGAATGACTTCTAGCAAAGGATGTTAAAAGCTAGTGGCGTCCAAACCAGTGACACAGAGCAAGCTGGAGACAAAGCAAAGCATTTCCCCACACAACCCGAGGTGCTGAAGCGCAGGCTGTTACTGCGGAGGGCTGTGAGGCCACTAACACGAATCAAAGCAGTGGTCAGATGCCTTCGCAGGCAGATTTGTTGCAGGGACTGGCCAGGATGATCCAGGTGCGACTTCGTAAGACTCTGAAGCACAGGAGATGGCATCAGGAAAGGACAAGGGTTCACGTGTCCTCTTCTTGCGCTTCTTCTCATTCCTATCATTTTCCCTATTGGAAATCAGTATCCCAGAGCCCTGGCCTGACAACGTAGGACTGTCCTTGCAATTTGCTTTCAAACGTTTTTTCTGCTCGCTTTTCTGTTTTGAAACTGTTCTGACTGTAGGAACCATTTCTAGGGCCTATTTGCAAGCCAGAGACTGGAAAAAAAGAGTAACTTCCCCTCTCAGAAAGCTAGAGCAACTGGAAAGTAACAATTAGAGACAGATCTTACACGTGGTTAAAAAATTCCACCTTCTGATGGGCAAGTAAGTTTTCCAAGTCCAGAATAACGTATTTTGCTGCATAGACTGCTACTAATGCTGCAGACTTACAGAAACAAGCCAACAAATAAACTTAAATACCTTGTGGGGTTCCAGATGTCACAGGAGCTGTTGCAGGAAAAGAGGGACTCCTGGATCAGTGAGGAAAGACAGATTTTCTGAGAAGACACGGCCTATGTCTTTGTACCAGAGAGAATCACTAACCTCCTGGCAAACACAGGAGGCAATTTGTAGGGGATTTGAAAAGACGCCCCTCATTGTGTCCGCCCAGGATTCCAAGAATTAATCCCTCTCCAAGAGCAAACATTTTACTTGGGCTAAGATTTAACTGAGGAATGGTTAAGTCAGCAATGTAAAGTATTACCTAAAGAAGCCTGTTGATGAGCCATTCTCCAATGTCATCCTCACACGTTTAGTAAAGACTGAAGATATATACGGAGCAGGATGGCTGCTGAAAGCAGCTTTATTCTAAAGCCGTCTCAGTCTTCTCCTTCTTATGGTTGCAAAACATCCAGCCTGGTAAGAAGCCGAATGTAAAAGAGCTGTTTATGAGAAAGGGAATTTATGAAACACTAACCCAAACCACTGTAAATAGAAACCATCACAAAGGGCTCCCCCAAGCATTACAGTGTATTTTTCTCATACTCAGTAAGCAGTTTCTCTCTTACTGCTCCACCAGCATCCCACTGACAAGCTGCTGCAAAACAAGGCCTTGCTGGCTGATACACCTCCCCTCCTTAATTCACTTGTAAGAAGTCAGGCACAACATCTAAGATGTGAGACAGATGACAGAGACTTCAATTCGCTCAGCTTTTCTCTTCACAGATGTCCCAAGATCAGCTTTTTGCCCTCTGAATTTTGGCTTGGTCCTATCTCCAGCCACGTCTGGAATGGGGGGGCCTGCAAGCTGCAAGAACAGCTGTAGCTTTTCTCCATGCTGCATCTAACAGTTGGATGAGAAAGAGCACAAGACCCTCTCCATTTTGCACAGCTGCGTATCAAATTTGCTCTCTATAAGTGATCACAAACTTTTGATTAAATATAAGGGATTGGGTACACAAATTATTAAAAAACAAAAACAAAAAAACCACCCCAGAACCAGCATTCCTCACTTCTTCCAAATTCCAGTGATGTTTTATGGACCGAAGGTGAAGTAGGTGGGAGCATAATCACTACTTTGTTTTGTTGAAGTCTGACAATCACAAACCAGCCAGCCCGAACAAAAAATCATGTATGTGCTGAAGGCAAGCTCGATCCCGGCCGCATTGTAGGACATAAGTAAAAGACCCTCGAAATACTAGCCCAGCATCAGCATGCTATTCTCACAGGGCAAAAGCAAGAAGGAAAACCTTTTTTTTTTCTTTCCCGTAAGAGTTTGTGCTGGTGCTGTAATCAGCTCCCGGGCAGAGCCCTGAGCACCACGGTCCCACCTGCTGCTGCTCCTGGGGCTGGGCTCAAAGGCACCTCCGGGAGGGCTGAGAGCAACGTCTGCCCCGCGGCCGCAGCCCTCGTGGGGCCGGGCAGGGCCGAGGGAAGCGCCGTTCCAGCGGGACACGTCCCGGAGCACGGGAGCCCCGGAAGCACG